TGTCTAGGCATTTATAGGCCTCAGGAGAATGATAACCACCATAAAGACAAACCCTGTCTGGGCACAAACCATTCCCGTTAAGGTAGTACTGTTAATAGATTAATTCACAGGAATTATTGTGTTTGCTTGTTCAAGCCACAGGTCAGTTAGGTTTTCTCTTTCACTTAAAAAGTTGTTCTAAATTCCATTGGGTTCCTCCCCCCACCCCGCCCAGCAGTGGCCTGGGAGATATGGATGATAGCATCATCTTTCCAGGCCAGTATCACAGTAAAGAAAAGAAAGGGGAGATGAAAGGGTTTCATGTTTAGTTAAAACATGAAGTCTTGTTCCAGTGTCTTGGGAGGAAGCACCTCGATGTCAGGTAATCTTCCTAGTCAGTTTGATTTGGAGGTCTCTGGTGTCTGTCTAGGACCAGTTGTCAGGTGTAGTTTTTGTCAGCTGTGGGATGTGTATCCAGGGTTCGAGTCCCTATCATCTGGGTAGTGAGGAGGACCTGGTATAATCCCTTCCAAGGAGATTCCAGGGCAGTGTTTGTTCTTCGTGATTCCAAATCAGAAGAGTGGGAGAAAACTGGGAACAGTAGCATGGTGTGTCTTAGCCATACTTGAGGATCCAGTCCCAATTTACATGCCTTCTTTACCAAAAACACATCCTACTTTCCTTGCATAGGGAGATGTTTCCCTTATTATGTAACATATGTTAAAAGTTTTTAACCTTTAGAAACCTTAGTTTCTTTTTCTTTTTTTAGATTTTATTTATTTGACAGAGAGAGACAGCGAGAGAGGGAACACAAGCAGGAGGAGTAGGAGAGGGAGAAGCAAGCTTTCTGCTGAGCAGGGAGCCCGACGTGGGGACATGGGGCTCGAGGCTTGATCCCAGGACCCTGGGATCATGACCTGAACCGAAAGCAGACACTTAACGACTAAGCCACCCAGGTGCCCCAAAACCTTAGTTTCTAATGAAAGTGAAGAAGTAAACAGTTGTGAGCTGTCATTGCATTAGCATCCTGTGGCTTGGCAGACTTTACTTTCTATAACTTCCAGAAACATGCTTTCCCCAAATATCTTTAGTTCCCCTGTAAAAGGAAGTAAAAAATCGATAAACCTGTGTTCAGTAATTAGTGTTTCAATATTTTATCTTATTTGGAAATGATATGGATATTTAATGAATTTAACTTAAATCACTATCTAAATTACAGAACTTAAAGGTTTCAGGTTATCAAAAAGATTTGGAGGAAACTAAAGTTTAACAAAACTTTTTACTTAGTCTTTTTAATTGTTTTTAACAATTATGTGTAGATTAAACACAAAAGCCATTAGACATTAGACAGAGCCAGCCATTGCCCCAAGCTATTTTTTTGACTGACAGATTTTGTGAGGGATAAAATGAACTTATTTGACTGGTATATAAGTTTTATATTTAATCTGATAACCCAAAAGACATGTCTATTTTAGTTAAACCAACATACTTAAACTAGGTTTTATACGGAAAATTATCCTAGATCATGTGACTTGAAAAACATTTGGGTTCATTTCTATTATATTTCTGAGATTTATAAATACTTCATAAGCACTTCTTTTTAAGCCAATTAAACCGAGTTCTTTTTTAAAGTAGGCTCTACGCCCAGCATGGGGTTTGAACTCATGACTGGAGATCAAGAGTTGCATGCACTACCAACTGAGCCACCCAGGTGCCCCATGGAGAAGACTTTTAAGATTTGTATTTGTTGGGGCACCTGACTGGCTCAGTAGGAAGAGCATACAACTCTTGATCCTTAAGGTCATGAGTTCCAACCCCACATTGGGTGTAGAGATTACTAAAGAAAAAAAAAAAGGATTTGTATTTGTAGAGAAAAGAAATCTTAATGAGGCTGTGGCCTAGAGTTTGGACAACAGAGCCTTATTTGCAATTTGAATTTTAAAAAGCTCCCCCCCTTTTATTTTCAGTCTTAGGAATTGGGATGGTCTAGAGTTAATATTTTACATCTCAAAGGCACTGGGGAAGAGTGCATGTTCCTCCGAGGACTTTGGTTTCTTTGGTTCCTTAAGGTCAGTAAGCCTTTTGAGATAAATAGAGGTTTTGGAATTGGTAATAAAAGGAATAGGTGAACTTTGAATTAGCTCTAGAGCTGCATTTCTAATTTTGCCAAGATTTGTAAAATGTAGACAATTGCTCTCAATTCCTCAAAGAATTGGGTTGCAATTTGAATGGTAATCATAGGTTGATCCACCCATCTAATTACTTTTTTTTTTCTGCTAGTAAATACTTTTACAAAGGCTTCAGAAGATTTTTTTCTTTCCTTCTGGGTACCTACTTTCATTTTAGCTTATGGGAGGAGGCCTAAAAAATATTATCAAGCTCTGTATATCAGCTTTCAATCTGGCCAGTCGCCAGTGACAGAGGTACTTAAAAATTCTTTTAGGTATCTTGTCCATTTTCACCTGGGACAAACACCAAACATTTCTGGCCATATCGAATAACCCCCCCCATGAATGTAAGAGGGATCCCCAAGGAGAGTGCAAAAGATAAATTCTTTCCCTTTCTTTACCGGGTCCTACAGACTTCTGGGAGAGCTGACTCTGGTAAGAATTTTTATCCTTAGCCAGCTTCTGCCAGTTTTTCTGGGATCCCATCTGTAACTCTGTTTTTAACCAGAATTTGGCAAGATTTTTAATGTTACTTTTTCCTTGGCTATTTAAGAGAATAATGTAGCAGTTTACCAGAAAATCTCCCATTTGGGAGGAGCCCTCCTTTGAGGTCAGGTATGTCAGGGGTGCCTGTGAGGTCATTAACTTGGTGGACTTTTGTTTACAGTCCGTAAAGGCAGCCTGGATAGAGGAGCACTAGGATGAGTTCTCAGATAAAGGAAGATAGAGGGAAGTGGTAAGAATTAAAACCTTTTGCTTTTAGGTACCTTTTACATCTTTAGTTTTTCACTAGCCTTTTACAACAAATCTTTCAATGAAGCTATTTTGGAATTTTGAAGGCTTTTGGAGTCTCTTGCATGCCAATTAAAATAGGCATCCCATTCTGTTTGATTTGGAAGCCTCGCTTTTAAGTGCACTTCTTTAATCTTATCTAATTGGAACATTTCTTGTAACGGCCATTGTAATTCTAGGTTGTAATTCCTCTGAGGACAGTTTGGTAGGACCCTAGGCACAATTAGAATTTAACCCACCTTTTCTGTGCAGCTATATCTAGCAGTAAAAGGGATGTAATCCACATTTCTGTCTGGCCACATTTTGGGGCTGCCAATCTGACGGTTACCAAGCCAGGTTGTCAGGACACAAAAAAGCTTAGTAAGATTTTGCCACTTTTGTCAATATATCTTTTGGACCATAGTTCTTAGGCATAAAATAAGCAGGGGTGCCAGAAGGAAGCATGCTTGCCTCTCTAGTTTAAGGATCCCATTAGCCAACTTTGGGTTTCTTGGAGCTGAGCTAATACCTAAAAGGGATGTGCCTCTGGGTTGAGAATTGTACAGTGTTACAGTGTAACTCATTGTACAGCAATTTTCTTGAGGTTGGCAGGTGACCTAGTGTCAACCTAACCTGTTCAATGACCCATTTAATGCAGGAGTTTTTGAGTTGGGTGATGGGTACTCTTAATAGTAAGTGTTCTGTCAGTGCCCACCAATTTTTGTGGCTTTTTTTTTTTTTTTTAACTTCTGAGATTCTGTTAGCTATAACCCTTTATCTACGCAAAATAAGACAAACAAACATGTGCACCCTAACATACCAGCAGCAACCAAAAGGTGTTACCGTGTGGACTGGCCAAGAGAAGGCCTGCATACCATCACCAATTCTCAGCATGCATTAAACCAGCAGACTCCAGTAAGTGGGGACTGTGGGTTGGAACTGAGGAAAGGACTAAACCACCAAATCCCAGTAAGTGGGTACTGTGACTGGAACTGAGGAAGGGTATTCTAAACAACTGGGGAATTGTGGACTCAACCAAGAGGTAGGGACTCAGGTTCCAGATGGAACTGTGTGTCAGCTCAAGCTGACCCACTAAGCCCTGGACTGCAAAGCTGGTTAGTTTAGAAGTTCAACACAAAGAGAGCAGAGCTCAGAACTGACAGGAGCTTCCCAATTCCCAATGGCCCCCAGAAATGGCTAGAAAAAAAAGAGAACTTGGAACAGTTCATGGGATACCACACCTGTGTTTCTTGTTGTCCCCAAAGCTATCAGAAGTCTCGTTTATCCTACCGCTTTCACCAAATTGTTAAGTAACAAAAACAGTAAATTTAAAGATCAAATTGGCTTTATTCAGCAATTCATGAGTTGGGCAGCATCCCATCTAGTAAATAGAAAGGAGCTCCACCAAGCTGTAGAAAAGGAAAAGTTTTTAAAGGCAGAAAGGGGATGGAAAAAGGAAATTATTAGCAAAGAATATATTGTTTTAGGCAAGGTCACCTTCCTAAGGGGAATGGAAGGGGTCTATGGATGTATTATCTCACTAGTGCTGACTAGGTAATTCCATGTTGACTGGCTAAAGGTTACAGTTCTTAAAGTTGAAACTGCAATTAGATTGGGTATTAGGTCTTGGTTTGCTGACATGGGCTTTAGCATGAGTGACTCCCATTTTTGGGCCTGCTGTCTCCTTTGTTAAAAAGGAATATGAATTTTATGGGGGACATAAGCATTCAGTCTATAGCAGTACTATGGCTAACAAAGTTAAAAAAATTAAACAGAGTAGGACTCTAGCATCAACTGCTTCACAGGAGAGGCAGGATAGAGCATCTGAAGACATTCACATTTGTAGGAAATTAGTCTGATGGTAGAAGGGGTAGGTAATCATTTCTATATATTCATAATTTATATAATTCATAATTTATATATGGTTAGTAATAAATTCGTAAATATAGGCCATTAATAAATATGAACTACCCTTAGTTTAAGAGAATTATTATGAGTCTGTACAATAATATGAATTTTTTATAGTTCAACAGAAAGAGTCACGCTCAGTAGTTGTCTAATATTTTTTTTTCTTGCTCCTAGATTTAAACAGTTGAGTTAAATCAAGCTGGGCAGTCATGGCAGAAGGTGGATTCGATCCCTGTGAATGTGTTTGCTCTCATGAACATGCAATGAGAAGGCTGATCAATCTGGTGAGATGAATGGGACGGTCCTATTTGGAATTGAACTGTACCCCTTCTGTCCTATATTTGTGGGAATGGGTTATTTTCATCTGATGGTCACTAAAATTATTTCATAATTGAAATTCCACAGTGCTTTAAGTCATAATGGTCAAAGTACTTGCCAGCAATTCTTTTATTAGAGATAAAAACAGATTGTCATCTATGGTAGATTTATGTTGGTGATCTCACCATCATAGGTAAGTAATGTGGGTATAGCCTTTTCTGTTCTGTATTAAGGAATATAGCCTTTAGCTCTATGGAGCTTGTTTACCTGATAAATTGCTGTGAAGTCACAGTTCCTGTTGTGACATGGTTCAGATCCTACTCTAACAAATGACATGACAATAAAAATCTCTATATAAAGCATTTCCAAATCCAAATCAATTATTCTACAGAGGCAGGTTTCTGAACAGCAGGCTTTAGATAGTCTCATTGAATTGATAATGAGATTTGAATTTGTAAGGTTTTTAAGACTTTCCCAAGTGTCTAGAATCTTAAATACAGGACTTTTTATGTATTATACTTTATACTTTTTATATGCGAAAGAAGAAATTTAACTATTATTAACAGTAAGATATATTATTATTATATTAGACAACATTTTATTGTTCTAGAATACTCTTGTACAGAGATATATTATCATAAACCAGTTAATAAAGCCAGGAATAAACATTTGCTCAAATATTTGAATTTTTAGTGGTTAATAAGCAGGTTTTCTGCTGACTCAGTGTCTATGTATAGTGACCAGAAGTATGTTTCTTGTGAATGATATTCCCCTTTGAGTCAGAATATGCTAGGACTTATGATCCTAAAGAATGTCTTAGAGGGAAATCAATAAAATAAGAACTTATAAATTAGACTTGTGGCTATAGAGGTAGAATGGCAGTTTCATATCTCTGATAACTTGATGTAAAAATAGATGAGTCTGAGGAGAGAATATTTAAAATATTTTCTCCTATTTATGACATTAAATAGCTGGTAGTTTTTATGTCTAAATTTAAACATAAGGCAATTTTTTTTCTTTCTTTTTTTTTTTAAAGATTTTATTTATTTTTATTTATTCATGAGAGACAGAGGGAGAGAGAGAGAGAGAGAGAAGCAGAGGGAGAAGCAGGCTCCCAAGGAGCAGGGAGCCCGATGCGGGACCCAATCCCAGGACCCTGGGATCATGACCTGAGCCAAAGGCAGACGCTCAACCATCTGAGCCACCCAGGCGCCCCAAGGCAATTTTTTTTTCAAATTACTGTGATACTAGGAATAAAAAAATAGACTTGAATTTAACTGGTAAATTTTCCCAGGAGATCAGTTTTTTAATATGAATTACTACCTCTTTTTTTCTTAGTATAGTATTTTTATTTTTAACATAGTATCATGCTTTTTTCTCTTAGCTCTGCTGCCTTTTTTTTTAGAGATGGCTAAAACTAAGCCCTACTTTTTATGATTCCCTGTACATTTCTGTCCTCTTTAGTAGACTGTCAGGAAAACCATATTTAGCTTTTGTTTTGTTTTGTCTTTAATGCATACATTCATGCCTGATGGAACATTGTTTATAGCAATTCTAGTGGAAGGTACTTGATGTGAATATAGATTTTAGATTTTACAAACCTTTAAAAGTCTACAGTTTTTAGTCTGTGCTGGATATTTTCACACGCTATAAATCACTGATGGGTGATCCTGGATGGGTGATCCCCTGGCGTACAACAGGTACAGACAGCAGATACTGAGGATATCTCCTGATAGCAGAATTGAAGATGCCAGAAGGGAGGAGAAACAGCAATAATTCAGTAAGGAAACTTGCTGATGAGGTTTGATAGACATTTGTTTGATTTGAATTGTGCTTTATAATTTTTATTTCTTCTTTTATTTAAACTCCAAATCAAGCAGCATTTTGGGGCCATATCTACTTTGTAGCTATTAAGTGCTTTCTCAAAACTTTTTTTTTTTTTTCTGAAAGAGTGTCTTTTGAAATAACATCTCTAATTTCAGGGGCACCTGGGAGGCTCAGTCGTTAAGCGTCTGCCTTCGGCTCAGGTCATGATCCCAGGGTCCTGGGATGGAGCCCCACATCGGGCTCCCTGCTCAGCGGGAAGCCTGCTTCTCCCTCTCCCACTCCCCCTGCTTGTGTTCCCTCTCTCGCTGTGTCTCTCTCTGTCAAATAAATAAAATCCTTAAAAAAAAAAGATCTCTAATTTCAGAAATTCAGAAGTAAGGTCTAATTTCTCTAAATTCAGTAATGTGTAATACTCTTTATTGTAGTATTATTTCTAGTAGTAAATAGTTATAAACAAACCTAATTGCCTACCAGTAGGGCAGTGGTTATATCATGGTATGTTCATGTGATGGAATTTTATATAGATGTTTAAAATAATTACGTCTTTAAAGAATATATAATAGGGCTCCTGGGTAGCTCAGTCATTAAGTGTCTGCCTTCAGCTCAGGTCATGATCCCAGTGTCCTGGGATCAAGTCCTGCATTGGGCTCCCTGCTGTGCGGGAAGCCTGCTTCTCCCTCTCCCACTCCCCCCTGCTTGTGTTCCCTCTCTCGCTGTCTCTCTCTCTGTCAAATAAATAAATAAAAATCTTAAAAAATATATATAATAACATAAGGGAAATTCATATATGAAATGAATAAAAAGCAAGATATAGAAATGGCATTTAGTACGGTCTTGCTTTTCTGTACCCACACACACCATATGTATGTGCACACAGGAAAAAAAAGACTTGAAGAAAATACATCAAAGTGTTAACTGTTTATCTCTGGATTGTAGAATATAAGTGAGACTTTTTTTTATAGTTTTCTGTATTTTCTGTGATAATATATCTTAGAAAAAGATTAAAAAAAAACTATCTTTTTTTCATTTAAATATTGTCAGCTTGTAATATGTTAGGCTTTTCTACCTCCCATTCATTATCTTCTGCTCTTATACTTTTTAGTACCTTTATCTTATTACTCTTTGAAAGTCTAACTGCCCAGCCTATATTTTAAAAGCAGTTTATCTGAGGGTATAATTTTTGTGTATTAGTTATAGCCACCAGAATTTAGATGTCTGCATGTTCAGGACACTCATGGATATAATAATGTATTACAGTATGATGATGGAGCAGAAATTTATTCCCATCTTTCTAAAAACGGACATTTAATTCATCCTTGCAATAGAGTAGCATCTCATTAATTTTAGGTACTAATTTGGAATTTTTGTTATTTTTTTACCTCATATAATCAAATTGGATTTTCTTGTAGGTTAGAGTATTATCAATTCCTGAGGATTTAAAGTGCTAATAGCAAGTAAAATCCTGGGGAAACTTGAGGATTTTAATGATTATTTATGGTTTGCTCATTAGTTGTATGCTGCGGTGCAGATTCGTTTTGCCTATTCTGTGGAAATAGATGGGCTTTGCCAAAGGATATATTCAGCTTAGGAGCAGTTAAGATTTCACCTTTATTTCCTTTCTGTTTTAATAAAGTCCTATTCATTCACAATTTAAAATTAACTTTTTTCCCCTTATTTAGTAATAATATCAGTTAAAGTTCTTTATTATAGGTTATAGAAGTTCTGAGTTATGTAGAAAAAGACATATTAAAAGGATATTATGTGGCTCACATGGGAGAACCTGGCACGGAAAATGAATAGGATCAAAGGAAGGGTGAGTGCCAAAACAAGAAAGAGCCAAAGTCATGCCGTAGAACAAGAGTAGCCAAGATGCTGCTTGCTCCCGAATTCCAGAATTTTATATGTCCAGGTGTTGATGTAACATCTCTATCTAGATAAATTGTAGGCATCTTACATTTAATGTGTGCATTACCAAACTTTTTTTCTCGCCGTCAAGCTTAAACTTCCTTATCTTCTTATTCACTCTATTATTCTGGTTGCTTAGGCAATACTTTTGTGTCAGTTTTTACTCTTTCAACCTCATAGCTAATGCAGAAACAAATCCTTTTGGCTCAACCTTGAAAATATATCCAGAATCCAAACATTTCTTACAATTCCAGTGCAACATCCTGGTCTAGTCTACCATCAGCTCTTGCCTGGATTATTGAAATTAGCCTCCTTATGAGTCTCCTTGCTTCTACCCTCCTGTCATGCCCCACTTTCTTCAAGTTTAGTTCTCACTACAGCAGCTGAAGTGATCTATTTTCGATATATCAGATAATGTTCTCAAAATCCTACAGTAGCTCTGCACAACACTTAGAGTGGAAAAAAAAAAACAACACAATTTATGTAGCCCTACGTGATCATTCCCCCCTCTACCCTACTCTTTCCCTTTACTCACTTTGTTCTAACAATTCTGGCCTTCTTGCTCTTCTTGGAAAATACAGGTCACATACAAAGGATCAAGAGTATAAAGACTTTAGACTTTTCAGCAGCAGATTGGCACAAAGATGTTAAGTTCTGAAGGGAAATTATTACAACTCCAGCATTCTGTATTCAACCAAAGTATTGGTCAAATAGGAGGGAGTCTTCAAAAATGCCACCTCATGTACCATTTCTTAGATAGTTACTAGAGGATGAACCATTTTTCACCAAAAAGAAGGCATAAACCCAGGAAGAAGAAGTAAGACTTGAGTGTAGAAAGCAGGAGATCTGGCACATGCAAGAAGCAAAAGTAACTTCAAGATAATGGTGAACAGAGATCCCGAGGTGATAGCTGCGCACCAGGACCACAAGACGGCTGGTTTCATTGAGAGGGGGTCACAAGGCTCTAGCAGAGATTTTTTTCAGAAAGATGAACTGATAGAATACCTGGTAAGTCTAGGCATCTTGTGATCTAGAAAAATGAAAACAAGTTGTCAAAAGTCATAGGAAACCAAGTAAGTAGGGAGAAAAAAGAATAAGGAAGTACAGAAAATAGTACAGAAAAGAAAAAGTAATTAGAGTTTACTACATGATTCAACTGTGAAGAGCATTTGCATAGTCATAATGTTAAAACTGACTATTGAGCTAAACAAATTTATGATGTAACAATTAGGAG